TTGAGAATCTCGCGGGTACAACCCCTATATACATAACATATAGGTATACGTATATGCCTAGTAATCCGTGTCTTTTTTTACATGAGAAATCTACATGTATCGATTACATAACAGTTTTGCTCGAATATTTTAAAAACGCGTTTACCCTAACCCGATACGAAGGTATACAAAGATTTGTGTAAATCATAAATAATTTTGAAAACCGATAGGCTACACCTGTATATATCTATTGTTACTCAAGCTTCATGCCTTTTTTTTTTTTTTTTTTTATTGGATGAAGACGATTGTAAATAAAAATGTATGTACAGTAATAGTAATCGCAGCGAAAAATCGCATTGTCCGATGTATTCCAAACGCGCGCGAAAAAACAAGGTGATAAAAGTGAAATACTTATTCTGTTCATATAAACGTCGTATTTTTTTTTTCTTTTTTACTATTATTGTTTAGTTTAGTTTAGGTTGTTTTGCTTCTCGCATACGCATAAAATCGCGCGCAAGTAACACTGGTGTACGGTGTTTATGTATAGACGATCGTTTTTCATTTACCAAACGTATATTTTTATATACAGCGGAAAAATAGTAGTTGGGTATATATATAATATATAGTTTGCAACCGGTCATAAAACAAACTGCTGTACAGAATCGTTGCCCGGCCTTACGCACGGTCGTACAAAGTGAGCACCTTATGTATAGCCGTCCCTTTAAATGGTTTTTAGAAAACGTCTCTTAACTCTTTTATATACATATATATACCAGCATATAATAATACGATCAAAATGCCTTTGAAATGTCCAACTTTGAAATTCGGGTTTCTTTATATGCATGTGTACCTATCTGATATATTGATTTCTACAGTCAGCGAATCGAATTCATACGGTATACAGAGTGTCTCATGAAGATATACCTATTGCTGTATCTTGGAAAGTATTAGGATAGAGTAGGGACATATGGGACTTATAATTTTAAAATCTGACTTCGGTTAGTTTAGTAGATCGATATTTTTGTTATATTTTAACAGTTTAAAATCATTTATTTCAGCATAAAAAATCTTCTTACCCCGGCTGGCACTGGTTAACGGAATTAAACGGATTCCGCGAGGCTATAATTTGGGTCACGGGACTAAGAATATATATTTTACACCCTTAGAATATGTCTCAAGAACATGTCTCTCTTAAAAGCGAATACATTTAAACCTTTAATTTAATTAAAGTTTCTTTGCCTGCAATCCCTTGCAAGTTTATAAAACGGAAAATAAAAAACTCTTGTGCGAAAAACGTTTTTCAATTAGAATTTTTTCTTCTCCCGGTGCCAATATTGTACGTGACAGCGGAGTTTTTCGTATATGATTCCGACGGCGGTACGCGACTCAAAATAAATTTGTTCGTATCTATTTATATAAAACCGTATTGGTTTTATTAAAATAATAATCTTCCGGAAAACAAATGTGTTATAACAAAATTCGCGACACTAGTGACGGTTTTTTCGAAGAATGTGCGATGGAAGGATTGCTTATGTGTATACGCTTAAATACTTAGTCATCGTTCATCAAAACATTTAAAATATACTTGGAATAATAATAAATTTAAGTTATTTCGTTCGACCGCAATGTTATTTTAACAATTACGTTTTGATAAAACTGTTGCGTGTCGATTTGGTAGCACGAAACAATTAAATTAATAAATAGACACTTGATTTTAGCTTAAGAATAAATGTCTTTATTAAAGTTTATTTAAAATCAATTTGGATATTATTATAGTTTTAAGTATGAGTTTTATAAATAAATGAGCGGTGTTACGTTCAGAGTATATGTGCTTACCTAAACCTATGTCAGACATGTCTGTCGAAAGCCTTTTCCAGACCCTTTTTATATGGTTTGTCTATGGCGTATGTGCTCGACTGACTTTGAGTGACTTTGTATTTTACTGGATTCGTCTGGAATTAGATTTATCGCCCGAGTTGTTCAAGCATCGCGCGATTGTCCGCGCGTGCACTTTTTTAATTTTGCTTACGCCAGCGTTTATCGATAATATTACAATATTACATAAAACTATTATAAATAGTTTTAATTATAAACATCGATTCACCATATTGATATCGGTAGGTATCGTGTATTCAACGGTTAAAATGTATTTTAAATCTTTCTTTTTAACTGAAAAGAACAGTATGATTTTTTTTTTAAATACCAGTGTGTTTATTCAAATGCTTATTTCTCATAGGTATGTATAAAATCCGTTACTCGAAATTATTTTTAATATTGTATTGGAAATGCTTTTTCATGCGAATACGTGAATATTTAAATACTTTTTAAAAAAATAATGCCTATAAATACACTATTATTTGTGTGTATATACTACTGGAACAAACACTTCAGGGGTTTTTTTTTTTTTTTTTGATAAATGTTCTATTAAATAGTTATGCTAATGCATTCCGGTTCGAGTAAATAGCGTTCACTTGTATTATAACGATAAAATAATGATTTGATTTCCGAAAAAAAAGTGTGTGTGTATATATATTATAGTCGTATATGTGGTCGTAATTCTCAATTTTTTTTTTTTCTTTATTGCGCTCCGTATTCGAAGAGCAATATCGCGTCCACAATTTGTCTGGCTTGAGGTACTTTATTCGCCATAGCCGTTCGATAATAACCTATTAAAAATCGACCGTTATATTATATTAAGCGACTATCAATATACAGGTACGTTGCGGCACTACACGTTTTTATTTTATTCGGAATCGTTTTCTTTCTCTAATCTTGAATTATAATATTGAAAATCGATTTTTTTTTTTTCCCCATTATTATGAATACCCATCCCATTTAATACGTAATATACTTGCCCATTTTCTCATTCAATTTTTTATTGTTTTTTTTTTTTTTTAGATTCTAGTACAGACATGCAGATAAGCCTAGACAATCGAAAACAGGTTCTCGAACAAGCCGTGCAAACAGAAGAAACGAGAATCGCGCCCATAGCACAATCGTGATAGAACGTTTTTCGAAATCGTTCGTTTCCCCTAGACCTCCGACGCTGATAATCATAAAAAAAAAAATAATAAATAAAAACAAGGTAAGCACAAAGAAAAAACAGAAATATATTATTGATTTTTTTTTTTTTAGAAAAACCACCATAGTAAAAACGAGTTAAAAAAAGACGGCAACGGGTGAGCCACTGGGAAGGTAGATTATAGAAGATAATTTAGTTTAAATTTGTACGCAACGATAAACCATTTCTAACGAAAAACGATTCGGAGCAAAGCTTGGTTATACATGTTTTGAAAGACCATAATTTTTACGAGTATGCATAACGATTTAAAATAATGAAATCATACGCCAAAAATTTTTTCGTTTTTCATTTTTCGTCTTTTTCCGGTTTTTCCCAATTATTATGAAAACCTTCGAGAAAATCAAAAATTACCTCACTATGCACCAACTAGACAGTTTCCTTTTAGAAAAGGTGCTACACTTAATATATCAGATCTAGATTTCTGGAAGAAAAATTGCTCACAGACGCAAAAAAAAATACAAAATACAAAAAAAACACACATCATAGTAAAACTAATAGATCTCTCACTACGCTCTGATTTTAATACTATAACTATATGTTAGTATCCCCTAAAATATTTTTTTAGAATTTTTCCCGAAAATAGAGACTATATCTTTTTCCTGTTACTGTTTGACACTTTTAGTAGCTCCCTCTCTAGATCAAATTAACTCGAGAATATGAATTGTTTTATTGGCCGATTGGAACAATTAAAGTTGGAATAAATTTCAATATGAGTTTCACAATAATTTTGTTACGGGATAAGAGTGTATTTTTTAGCATTCAACAAATCTACAGAACACTCAATCGAAACCACGGGGAATCAATTTTTTACACGCACGGCGTTAGTATTAAAAATGCATCGTTTGGAGATTTCGTCTTTCAATTTACACCTCTAGCATTTTTATGATCAAAATGCTCAGGTTATTTTTTTGAGAAAAAATATGATATAGTGCAGTATAAAAATATATATAGTAACTTTTTTGGTTATTTATCGTTTTATAAAAACTACAGCAAATGTGAAAATTGGCGTAAAAACAAATCGACGGATCGAGTGTCAACTGTACCGACTACCAAAAATCAGCCTAGCCCCGAGTCAACCCGGACTGGAATCCATTTTCTTGGTTTAAATTTAGATATGGGACAACCATATGCAATGGATTGGACTTGGTTCAATTATAACATATTTTTAATATCATTGGTGTGATGTGGTCCTATTTTTTTTAGTTGTCGATTTAAAAATCAGTTAATACTTTTATTAATAAGTTATGATCCGGATTGGTAATTTTTATTTTTAATGTATAATTTGGGATAGGATGATCTACGTGAGCTTGAATTAAATTGGTCCAGGCTGAAAAATATATTTTACGAATTAGTCAGGACCGGTTAAACTAATTATTTCAATTATCTAATCAGGCCCGGTCCCATTTTTATAGGAGCGGGCTGACCTTTACTATGTCGTACTGCTATGTCGCAATAATAGTTGGTCGAAGAAAACAAGGTTTTCCCATTCAAAAAAGTATTATTTTAGATTTCTTATTGCGAAATAAGAAATTCTTACAGCTCCGATCGCTGCACACTTCAGTGCACTAAAACGCCGTCCCATAAACCGTGGTAACGGTTACTTTTGAACATCATGGCGTGTAACGGATAAACGTCCGTAAGAACAGCAGGGACAGTAATAAAAGTAAAATAAAAATACCGTGCGAAAAAAAAAAAGTTCCACCGGTTCCCGTGTATAATATGATTTTTAATTTAACGGCGGCGGTGCGCGTTTCGTTTCCGGAATTCCGATGTCCGCTAAATCGATCTGAGCGACGGCGGCGGTCGAATTTTCACGGCGTGAAATTAAGTGAAGGGGGCGAGGGTCGGGATTCAATATAGGTGCCGTGAAATAAAATAAAATCGCCGAAACGGATAGGAAAACGACGGTCGTTTGGAAAATAATTCGCGTGTCGTCGTTTTATCTCGGGCGCTGCACTAACGGCGCTCGGTCGGAAAATGGTCCGTGAAATCGGTCGGCCGGCGCGTGTAAACGGCCGCGTTCTGTAGCTCCGGCCAATTCGTCCGCGTCCGGGTCACCGGAATCTGTCCGGCCACGGCGATGGCACACGGCGAACACGTGCCGAGCGAGAACTGCGTTGTCGTTCGAGACGCGATACTGCGCCAGCGCCGCAATTGCCCCGCGAGTGTGCGAGTCCCGCGCGTTTTCCGAAAGCCAATTTCGTACCCGGGACATGGTAAACGGCCCGGCGCTAATTACTTCCGTCGCCGACATTTCAGAAACAGACCCGTCCGAGGACATAATATACGCGTTTATACGGATCGGAACATCCGCTCCGCGGAAATTGCAGGGTTTGTTTGTGGGTTTTTTTTTTTTTTTTTCGTCGGCCGTCTCATATTTGATTCGTAAATTGTTGATAAACACTTTTATAACGTCTACTAGTAAATAGTAATATCAAGAGCGGTTTCGTCGTTTTCGTAAATTTAACTATCGCCACATTGCCGCGACGGTATATTGTATTGCAAAATATAATACGACCGGCACGCCGGCCGAACGTTATTTTTCCACTATTGATACGTGCGTGGAATTTAACAACGTAATTTTATTGACAAGCGGAGCCACTATAGGCGTGTTTTGGCGATGCAGTTTTAAACCGCACTTGAAGGTTACTATAGTTTGGCTATGTCGTTTATTGCGATAATTATTGTTTTACAACCGAGAATGCACTTTTCGACAATCGACTTATGAGCACCCGCAAACAATTTAAAACGAAATGTTTACTGTCTTCGGTTGCTGGTTATCCGTTGGCTGTACAGCTAACACTAATGCCAAATTTAAAAATGTGCCCACTTGATTTTTACATTATCATGATTTTACGGAATAGGCTCAAAAACCATAATGTTGAATAAAGAATTTTGATAATAAAAATAATATTATGAAAAAAAAGTACTGACTAGCTGACTAGATATCTATCTCGTATATTCATTAACTTAACAACAACTATACATCATGGCCGTTCTTTTTGTTAGGTTATGATTATGGTTCGGGAGTAATTACACTAATTTTTTTTGGAAATATGCACTTAAAATAACTGAAATATGCAACTAAAATATTTTTAAATAACAACGAAAATTATTATTCGTCAAATTTAAACTTTTTACAATGTTATTAATAGATTTTTTACAACATAATTACTAGAGTCTGGATTTATATCGACGGTAGTTTGTAAAAAGGGCGTCTATCAAATTTCATTTTTTTTCCGGAATCACAAAAAAACGGCAAAACAGTTTTTATTGAAATCATGGAAAACGATAAAATTACTCGTACACATAATACCTTATACACATAGTATTCATGCATTAAATGTGGTATACGCCCTTTTAGCAAATCAGTGATTTAATTATATTTTTAAAGGGCGCCAGGATATTATTTAGTTGACATTACCAACTTAATTTTCTGTATACAACTACGCTCTTTTACCAGTTCGTGCTCCTAATTTTTCTGATATTTTTGTTACGAAAAAAGTATTCTTCGATTTTTAGTGATATACACCCTTTTAACAAAACACCATCGATATTTTCTTATAATCCACAAAAAGGCGCTCAAAAACGTTTATAAATCCCTGAAATAAACACTCACAAACATTTAAAAAAGCAAAAATCATAGAGGAATTTAAAAAATACCCCACTAATGGCTCTAACTTAATGAATTAAATTTCGTAACTCTACAAAAATGATTTACTCAAATAAATGTTTTTAAATAAAATCGTACATATTATAAATAAAAATTACTTTTTATTAATCATTTTTTTTAGTGTTAGAAAATTTTATTTATAAGTTAAATCCGTTAGAGTGAAGACTTCTAAACCCATTTTATTTTTTTATTTTTTTAAATATTTTTAATTGTTTTTTTGATGTTTTCGAGAGCTTTTTTTGCGAACTTTAAGAGGATATAAATCTGGTCTCTAATAACTACTTAGTAGGATATACTTAATGGTAAGTCAGTATCCAGCTATAACTAAAGTAACAATATAAATTACTAAGACAACTCGTCTATAACATACAATAACCCGATTACATATGGTTATTCGCCAAAAAACTCTTATTCTAATGAATAGAGATGTTCAGATTAGAGGCTATGATAATATAATTTTACAAATTATTAGACGGACAAAAGGGGAGTAAGAAGAAGAAACAGAAAAGGAAATTTTAAGACCCGATTTAAAGTTTTATGTAGAATTCTGGGATGGGTATGCAGACGATGTCAGAAATTATTCAAACGGAGAGTAAGGACAAATGTGGCAAAATATATAAGAGCTAAGGCGCGAGGGAGAAAAAAAACCAGTGTTGTATTGTATTTGAACAGCTGTGTTATAATTAAACTCTAAAAATAAACATGATTAAAAACCATGACCATGCCACTACACGGAGTGCGGAGATTTCAACAGCGCACGTTTATTATAAATATTTTACCGGAGTTTGGGGACCTCCTTTTCCTGGGGTGTGTTGTTATATATTAATAGATTCGTTTGAAACGATGTTGGTTTTTTTGTCCGAACGTTTAACCACCAACGGTAAACGCGTCGGACGATTAAAAATATTGTCCGTATAGAGAAAAATATTATAGCGTGTATTATGCACGGGATAAAACGTTCCACGGTCGCACCGGAGTGGATAGCCTCGGACATTATCCTGGAAAATTACACCGTCATTAATATATTATATTACGTATGTATACAAAGTTCTATAAAATGTTGCAAAGACTCGGCCAAAACCCTCAAAAACCTCTTTTCCAAACCCGTCTGCGTTTGTATTATCTGTGTCTGACGAGGCAACGACACCCATTATCGCGAAATACCGTTTGAGATTGGTTTTCGGATAAGGTCTATAATATGATTGTATAGATATCGATCGGACGAACTTCCACGATTCCGTTAATTCGGTCCATGAACAAAAGTATAAATGTAATCAGTAAAAGTCGCATTTATGACCAATCAAAATTTTGTACAAAATGCAAAAATAAATTATTAAAAAAAAAAAATCGTTGACCTATGGTAAAGGAAACGAAAAAAATAATATTAATTAACTTTCGATTACAGGATCCCGAGGAAAATATATAAAATGTCAACAAATTAAATATTGTGGTTGTGAGAACGCAGCAACACGGAGCAGCAAAAATATTAAAGGCAACGAATCGATTGAAATCCGATGAGGAAGAGACCGAGTAGAGAGAAAAACTTAGAAAGCGACGGAGATATAAAGTAAAGGAGAATATGGATCAGCCATAACTATTACGAATTAGGAAGAATTCACTAGATATAAAAATTCGCCGATGGGTTTTACAAACAGCCACGAAGGATATTGAGAGAAAGAAAGATGAAGAAAAATTATTATTTGATCCGGCGATAATGTTCGCATATCGCGTCAATCTAGCCAATAAATCCCGCTCCGTCCAGTTTCTGGTCGGTTTCATGCTGCTGTCTTGGAAATTTACGATTTTTTTTATTTGATTATGAAACGCGCGATAGTGATTGCGATCGTATATTTCCCGAATGGTAGTAGTTACCTATCTGCGCGTTATTTATTTTAACAAATTCCTGCGATAACGTAAAGCCGGTTATCGTCGTCTTCCTGTATATTAATAATATACAAAATATCCCGCATCACTTTGTCTGCCGCAACGAAAAAGGTTATAAGTATCTGACTTTTTCCAACTACTTATTTAATTTCTACTTTAGTTTCGTTTATTTTAGTAAAACATAACGGGTATATAAGTGCATACTTATTAAATTTAACCTCTTTTAACAAGTATATAACTTTTTGATCTTTTTCGCGGTCGATGCTGAAAAAAGATACGACCATAATCGATCCTGATATGACCTTTTTATTTGCGGCAAGCGAGTCATATTCGCATTTGACCCTGCAATATTTCACGATATATATTCCTCTCGAGACCGCGTATTTATCAGTGAAATGATTATGGATAACACTACGGTTATCCGGCAAAAAATTATTATTTTCTCCCCTGTGTACGATTATCTATATATATATATATTACATCTTATCCAGTGCTCGAATTATTAAGGTGATGGTGGTCCGAGCCCATACTAAATTATATTAATTTATACTGGTATAATTTTAATGGTATCAGTTCGACCAAATAATTTTATTCACATAGAACTAAATAAAAACTAGAAAATGTCAATTGCCTATAAATAAAAGTTGGTGGTTAAGTAAAAAAACCGGAATATTTTGTTGAAATATTACCACGTCTAGAAAAACTTTCCCGTTTTTCCTACGTTATTTTCCCTAAATGTTAAGAAAACTATATTGAAAATCAACTTTCTTATACACCAATTAGACAAAATTATCTTTCCGAAAAGTTACTACTTTTGAAGTTTGGAGTAAGATTTCTGATAGAATAAAAAATTAAATAAATCTGATATGTGTTTTTACATTAATTTCTTGTTGTTTTTATTTTCATTCTGAAAAAGTTTATTAAATTTATTTCGTGATTTTTAAAGGGTGCTGTAAAATTTCCATCTACTATATGAAAATGGAACGGTGATTTCTAAACGATAGTTTCTTACTAGCAAATCCTGCAGCGTCCGCTTTCTACAGTCTCCCCTCCCCTCCCCCCGAATCGACCACGCGCGTATCGCGTGTTTGGTAAATGGAAGTATAAAAAAAAAGATCTATCTCGAATTTGGAGTTTTTCGAATAAGTAAATTGACCGTATTTTAAACTCGTGGATATCAAACGATACGAAACGCGTATATTGAAAGTACCGTGAATAACATCAGCTTTGTTTTCGGCGATTCGGTTTTTTTCTATGTATACTAAAACGCTATCCCGAGAACATAGTCTTGAACGTCTGTAATAATGTTAAAGTAAGACATAAGTACAGTGTGACAGTTGGCAAGTACAGTGTTCGTAAAAATAATAGTCGTTATGGATTACATTACATATATTCTTCACATCGAACATATTCGGAAGCGTATTTTAGATTTTTATTTTAGAGAAGGAGTGGGGGGGATGACAGTTCCGAAACATATTTCTCACAAAAATGCATTAAACTGATTGTAATATAATAAGTGTACAGATATAATAAGTACAAAAATATGTATATTTGTTGTAATTCAGTTAAAAATGTTCGTAGGGCCTAAAATTTCGGACAGAAAATTCAAATCGTAAATATTACGGCCTTTTAAATCATGTACAACCAAACTCCGCTCAAACCCATTTTTCGTTATCAACAATAAGTCGCTTTGTACAGATATACATTGAATTCCCATTTATAGC